TTATATTTCTCTAACTCTTCAAATGTTGAATGTATAACTAATACTAATTTCCATTTTTCCATCTTTACACTATATTAATTTTATCTTATAAATTGTCCCTTGTTCTGTCACCCATGAAATAAAAATAATTGTTTGTATGGAAAATAAAGATCTACATACATCAAATCATTTTTAAATTAAGTGGCAGCAGAAGAATTATTGCTGAACTTTTAAAAGAAACATTAATTCAATACTTAAATGCAGCAATCAATTTTGAGCTCATCTGTAGTTTATTGATGCCTATCCTATCTACTCCTCCCTAGCTATTGTGATGATGGCCAAACTAAGAGTCCTCCACAGGAGTTAGCTTAAATGCCACCTGATAGGGCAGCTTTTAAGCTATTTATAATAAAACATGCACTGCAATTTCAGATACAAAAGGAAAATAAGAGTTACTCCCCTTGAACCATGAAAGCAAAGATAATTTCAAGGAGAATATATTAATATATATTTTTAACCTCGCAACACTGAATCTGAGCTCAACGAAAATCGTTCCCTGCACCTAACTTTTCTAGGGCTTTTGAAAAAGCTATGAATCATTGAAATCAGACCAGTGGGAGCGGAGTAGTTGCTTGGACACACACACACTGTACTTTATATATAAGATATATGTGTATATATCTGTAATATATCATGAATGTGTGTTTATATATATATATATATATATATATATATATATATATATTATTGCAAAAAGGTAATTTCCATGATATAGTTTAGAGTATTTGGGGTTAAGTTTTTAAGCTTTCAGATACCTTCTACAATGGTAGTGGAGGATCTCAGTTTCTGAGGAAAGTTCATCCAAAATTATCTAAGCAAGGATAGAAATTTATTACTAGTAGAACATTTGTAATGGTATTTTTTCAAAATATTAACCAGTTACTAAATTCATTTTAACATATTAAAAAAAAAATAATCTTGTCTTTCAAGCTGAAGTTTTATATTTAAAAGACAATATCTGCAGGGAATATTTTCTTTAATGGAAAATGAAGTAACTTGTTCAAGGTTTACTGAAACAAATTATAAATATAACTTTGAGACATCTAAAGCGATCAATTATGTAAATAATTGACATTACCTAAAGGGTGCGATGGATAAATTGTCATCTGAATTACACAAAAATGAAAATTAAAGTTACATCTCAATTTACCAAAATTACACAAAAATATCTTGAAATACTAGAGCATTTGGCTTCAACAATAGCCTCCAGACAACTTCAGAATCTCCAGCAACTCTTAGAACGGTCTCCTTGTTTAGGTTGGTGAATGATGCCATAATCCTTGCCTTCAGTTCATCTTTGGTGCTATAAGGAGTTTTGTTGGTCTCTTGCTCAACTGCACCCCATACATAATAATCAAGGGGGTTGCAGTTTGGAGAGTTAAGTAGCCAGATGTAAGGGGTGATGTGGTCACAGAAATTGTCTGACAGCCATAACTGGGTTCTCCTGCTTGTGTGGCATGGTGCAGAGTCCTGTTGCCAGATATAGGGTCTTCCAGCAGCCAATCTCCTGACTCATGTCAGCAACACCTCCTCAAGGAACTTGATGTAGACCTCTGTGTTGAGCCTCAGGGCCTGTGGGAAAATGAATGTAGGCACAACGTCGCCATCACTAGTGATCAATCCAAACACTATGATGTTGACTGGATATATCATCCAACTCTTTCTGAATCCTCTGCACTGTCCTCAGATTGACACCCAAACACTGAAATGCCCGTGTTGGAGCTCCTGGCATGAATGCCAAGCAGTACAGCATACCATTTCCAAATTTCAGGTGGAGTGCATTGTGTCATGGTCCTCTTTTTCACAAATGGTGCCCAACTGACCCTACTATACGGTGCAGTCGACAAAATCAAAAGCAAACAATGCACATGCATAAAATTAAAAATATAAAATGGGTTGACAATCTACCCATCACACCCTGTATGTACCACAATAATTGTTACATTTACACACATATTTCCTACACTATTATGAGTATGAAACATACACTATTATGGAGCAGAAAGGGTATAAAATTTCTATGATATTCAATTGTTATCAAAAGGAAGAAAGAAAAAAATAGAACTACATCTAATCATAAAAACAGGAAGTCAAAATTAAGAGTACAACCATTAGCTACTGAGGGGTTAAATTTCCAATATGAATATTTCATGGTAACATTATTCATCATGCTCTAAAAAAAAAAAAAAAAAGGGCTAGGTGTGAAAATTGGATTATAAAAACAGGGCAACATCCATCATAAAATACATAATATATCAGAACATTACTATTTTTATCTAATATTATGAATAAAATAATCAAGAGAAATAAATTGAAAGAATTAAAAAACCTGAGTAAGTCATATAGCCATAAGTTACACATAAAATGAGATGGGTTTAAAAATGAAGTCAACTTCAGAATAAATAACTCAAAATATGAACTTAAGACTGCAAATTGTGAAGTGATGGTCAACGTTAAACTTAAAAAGTAACAACTCTTGACAAGATCTGCTTATTTTAACTAAACCAAAATAGCTTACTACTTTTAAAAGTATCAAAAATGCTTGTGAATAATGAAATGACAATTATATATATCAGTGATGAGATGTGTGCCATATATCGTACAACTGAAGCATAAAAAGTTGCTTTATTATAAGTAACTCTTAATTCTAAAATCAAACTGGGTACAAAACTGAATAAACACACAAGAAAGTTATCTATTAATAAAAAAAAAAAAAATCTTCAACTTTTCAATTTTACATAAAAAAATAAGTATATTCATAGATTTATAAGAAATAAAATTAATTTTTTAAAAATGTATTGCTAGCCATTTTTGAAATTCTAAACTGGTGAATAAAAGAATTTTTCATGGCATTACTGCTAAGTGGCGGGGGGTCAGAATTGTAAGAAAATAAACTTAAAAAAAAAAAAAAAAAAAAAAACATTAACCAAATCATTTTTCTTTTTCCTCAAGACATGTGATAAGGAACATAACCAAGAAATAGGTAAACTTGCATTTGGACTTGTTCTTTCATCTCTTAATTAATCACCTAATAAGGCAGAGACATTTATTCACTTTGCAAAATCCTGTTTTACACAAAGTTATACACAAAGCTTATGTTCCTTTCATATTAAATGCAAACACACAACAAAAATGGAAGATCAGTTATTCTTTGCTAGTCATGCTACTTTAAACACCAGAAAATTTGACCAAACATTACAACGCAATCAATGGGTTGGTTAAAATGTATATTGAAATTCACATCAAAAAGGATTGGATGCTTTGACACATTTTGAATAGAAACTTATCTGATGAATAAATGTACTACAAAATAAGGCTACTTTCATGTCAGATTAATGCTAATCTGATAACAAAATTCAAGTTTCAATCCATTTATTTCCATACATAATCTAAGCTAGATTATGAAAAGATTGTTCTAAGATGTGAATGAAAGTATAAAAAAAACATTAACAGCAAGCTCTGCAACATTAATAGAATATTTCAGATTAGAAACACAAAAGTATGATTATAAAATAGTATTATAACAACTTTGAAAGCTGATCAACACCGTACACTGAATGGTGAAAATAAAACACTTGTGTAGTTAAGTACCCAACTAAGATTATTATCACTTTATGTATTAAGATCACTTCTTTGCTTAGGATATGTTCATGATCTATACATCCAGTTAACAATTTACTAAGATCTACAAGTTTCACTTTGTGACTATTTTGTGATAGCACCTCTTAAATCATGTGTACAGATTAAACCCAAAACATTTTCAAGTATAAAGCAACATCTTGTACACTGCAGTTTATGCAAACAAGTAATAATTAAAGTCAGTTTATCTTTAAAAATTAACTCTAGAAAAACAATAAGCATCCTTAAGATCAATTCATTTTAAAATAGTTGGAATCCCTTTTTTTCTTTTTAATTCAGCCTTTTGAAAAGCTTAACTTTAGGGGAATTTACGCAACATGAAAAAACCTCTTTGAGAATTTTTTTTTTTTTTTAACCAGTGATGTTGGAATCTATAATTCCTCAAATTAAAAATTAGCAGTTTAGCTTTATAGTGACATGGTCTCTACTAATAGGTGACAACTTTACTGTTTGTAATAGGTCAAGTTATCAAATAAGAATAAATTTGAGAGCATGGAGTATAGTTTTGTAAACAAAATAATCAAACAACTTAATTGCTCATCAAAATACCAACATCAGATGTCATAAATCAATGCACTGATGTAAATTTTATATATTTTTTAATAAATTTCAGAATCTTAGAAAATAAAGAATCTAAACAAAAACAAATAGGCTTTCTGCTTATTGACCTTTTTCACTCATTCCTTATTTCAAATATTTTTCTTTTCTTTCAAAAGACTTTAGAATACATTGTGAAATTGTCAAAAATGAATGAAGAGTACTTCATAATAATTTAGAAAAATTGGAAATTCTTTTAAATGATTATTTTTTTCAATCAAAATAATGATAATACCGTCATGTATAATCAATAATTTTCCTCTTTTTTATTTCTTTATGAATTAATTATCCTCCATATCAGTAAATATAAATGCTTCTGATCAACAACCAAGAAAGGAAAAAAAAAAAACAACTTAGCCACAACACATTACTGAAATGGAAACCATTCCTTTCAAGTAATCAGCATAGATATCTGTGGTGCGTAGACAAACAATCTAATGTTACTTTCAAAGAGATTTTACCTTTTTAATACAATACCCAGAGGTATCTACTTATTTAATTAATAGAAAACCAAGATTGTAAACTCCAAGACATCCACTTTTGAGGCAACACAAAACTATTTCCTGCTTTTAATCTTATTTTGTTTCTTTTTAATAGACTAAGTATCATCTTGTCAATTAAAAATATATTTTGGAAGCAAATCTTTGTAGTGATAACTGGCCATTCTACTGCAGCAGCTGAAGAATGAGAAAATGCAGAATGGAAAAAAAATTAGTTGTTCTTACTTGTTGTGTTGCTGCAATGGCCTGAGAAGCAGCAGCTGCAATGGCTGCATTGCTTCCAGCACCCATGTGACCTGAAGACGATACAAGAAAAGGTATTAGACATGAAGACAATGATCTTAAAACAAGAAATAAAAAAATAAAGTGTAAAATTACGGTTAATTTGCAGTGTAACACCTGCGCTCAGTTTGCATTAAAAATTTCCAGAATACTTACATTTATGCATAATTGTACAGGCTTCATTCGAATCTGGCTTGATAAATAGGATAAAATCTACCATTTTGGAGTTATTGACAGTGAAAGTTTGGATTCATTCGCATTGCGGGTGGCCATTACTGGTGTTGTTTGTATACATTCACTGCAGAATGGCTATCAGTGTAGGTGTCATTGCGCAAACAGGGTGTGTTTACATAAATAGTTCTTGTGCGCAGTAATTGAGACAAATTTAGACAAGAAAGATCAGTTCTAAGCTTAGCTTTCCATAGTCTTTCATGTTTAGCATTCCGCAACAAATGTATGCAAATAACGTGAGTAATGGCTGCTGCCAACAACGCAATTGAATCCCAAATTTCACTGTCAATAACTCCAAAAATGGTAGATTTTATCAAATTTATCAAGCCAGATTCGAATGGAGCATGTACAATTACACATAAATGTAAGTATTTTGGAAATTTTTTAATGCAAATTGAGCACGGGTGTTACACTGCAAATTAACCAAAATTACTACCTCTTTAAATTTATAGATAATTTTTTTATGTTCTGTTACAAATATAGAAGATAACCGTTTTCTTATAAGCAAACAAGTTATGCAGGTGTGAAGAGCAAGTTTCATCTGAACAACAACAGAAAACAAAGACACACAAACAAACAAGAAAAAGCACCCCCAAAACCAAAATGGACAAAAAATGAAACAAAAAAAATAAATAGAAAAAACACAAAACACTAACAAAAATTTAAAATTAACTGCTATAAGAACAAGTTAAAAATCTCTGAATTGAGAACTGTAACTATTTTGGCTCATTCCAAACAAAAATTCAGCAGGTTACATTTTTTTTTTTTTTAAATTGCATTGTCTTTCTTCTGGTGTGTTATCTTTGAAATGTAAAACCGGTTATTTGATCTGAAGAGTTATGTGCTTTCAATTCCAGCTAAATCAAATAAGATGTTCAACATTCTTTAGAAAATAGACAAAACATATTTTCTGTAACATAACTACAATTTAAGTATTATTAGTATTGTATTACATACACACACAAGCTTAAAAGCCACACTCTGTGCAGAATTTTAAGCTAACTCCTGCCCTAAAGTAGTTTTCCATCCTGGCAAGACAGCTTCTTTGGATCCAGCTGAGGTCATTGCAAAACAGTTATTGTAGCTTCTGATGTGCTGGATGAAGTGTTTTGATTCAACTGAGTTCCCAAATGATAGCAATGGCTCTGGAGGAAACTGGGAGATGTTCCAGCACATCCGATCTGGTTCTTTCCTTGAATCCGAGAGCATTACAATGCTTACACTGAATGATCATTGATCCAATAGATATCACTGGATGATTTGAATAATCACTGTCACAGTTGTATTGCAAAGTCAGCTTGGACAGGCTCAAAAAAGAAGTTTCACTCCTTTTAGCATGATTTTGATTATCACTAACCTGTCTGGCATGTCTTTCATCAGGTGTTTCCAAAGACCTTACTCTTCTATGATTTGCAGCGTCTGTTTCTCTCCTTGATAAAGTCTGATTGTCATCATCTGCAGCACTTGACCTTCTCTTCCTTGCAGCATCTGCTTCTCTCCTTGCTTGCACCTCCTCTGATGTTCGAGATGCTCTTAATCTTATCTGTCTTGCATCATTTGCATCTCTCCTGGCTTGTACCTCTTTTGAGGTTTCTTCTGCTCTTCTCTGCCTTAGAGCTCTGGTCTCTGGATTTTTCCATGACATTTTGAACAAATAACTTTGAATTCCTCAATTCACTCCATGGAACTTCAAAACCTCACCAGAGTTCCGATTCAGGCTATAAGCCCAATTCTGGATGAAAATTGAGTTTTTCAAATCACAAACTCTGTGGAACTTCAAAATTTTTCACCATGAAACCTCTAAGTTTAATAAAATAAAATTGATTTCCTCAATTGAAAGTTTTGGAGATATTTTAAACTGAATTTAAAACAAAATTTTTTAAATTCAAAGTTTTTGTGTTACTTTAAACTCAATATAAATTAAAAACTCTTAAAATCACTAATTTTTTTCATTTATTATAAAATTTGAATTTTTAATTCTTTCATGCTTATCCAGATACAAATCCCAATACTGGATGTCCAAGCACCAGATGAAGGGCATATTTTCAATCCTGGGTCATCCTGAATATATCTATGTAAAGCAAGTGTGGCCTAAGAGGGGCTTCAGACACACAGGCATAAATTGCTGTTTATTTATTTATATATATATATATATATATATATATATATATATGAGAGAGAGGATAATGATATACATTTTTATATATATATATATATATATGAGAGAGAGGATAATGATATATATATATATATATATCTCAAGAACAGTTTTGGAAGAAAGATGTATGACAAAGTGGAATAGTTTTTGTGTGACACATTTCGTCCCTTAGGACTTCATCAGACTAGGTCTGTTTGTGCACATGTGTAGTCACATCAACATTAACAAGAGACACTGGGAATTTTAAATTTATAAAAAAAAAAAAAAAAAAAAAAAAAAAGGCTCCTCCTGACAAACTCAATGAATCAAAAAAAAATATATTATTCTACCTATTATTGCAGCTACAATTGAAAAGAATTTATCTAAACTCAACATAAAATTTGTCACAACTACAACAATAAAAGACTTAATACAAAACAAAACTTGAAGGAGGAATTTATTCTATCACCTGCAAGGATTGCCAGAAAGAATATATTGGAGAGATCTTAAGAAGTTTAAATAAAAGATTATATGAACACAAAAGAGACATTTTAAAAAACAACTCATCAAATGCATTAGTTGCTCATCATAATGAGACTGATCACAAATTTGACGTAAAAAAAATGCTATTCTAATTAAGAGAAAATAATTCATTAAGATGACTGAAAATATATATATAACAATGATTATTATATTCAGCACCTCAACTTGGGATCTTCATAGACAAACCCTTTTGTAATTGTTCTCTCCACCCATCAAGACATTTTAGCACATTAATTTTCAATTTAATACACAGAGTCATTCTGTGACAAATCAAGGGTCTTACCATTACAGACACAGATTTTTTTTTCAAAATTAGTACACTTGTAGAGCTTCATGATAGAAATTGAATGATACCTATTTTACATCTCTAGGTCAAAAGGTACCCGAGGTATTAAGTTGCAATTCATTTTCAGTATCTACAAAAATGTTAGAAGGTTGTGGCTGGTCTTCAACCAATGTTGAAGTACTTTCAGAAAACTCGGGTAATGCTGTTAATTTTATTCAATCATAGTTCTTATGTAACTCTTATGTAACAGCATTCAAAGAGCTTTCTAAAGATATACAACTTGACCATATTGGGAGATATGAAAATGTTAGCATATAGTGGGAAATACCAAAATCTGCCATTTTGAATTTGGCCCAACTCGGTAAAACCCTTGTAACCCAGGCCACAGACAAAAGTCCACCACAAAATGTTATATATATCTTGCCATAAAGCAGACAAATCTGCTGTGAAATTTAAAAAATAAAAAAAATTAAAGATACATTTTTTGAGAAATTAAAAGGTCAACATTTAAGGTTATGGTCAAATTATCTTATTTGACTTTTAAACAAAAAAATAGATCACCTTTTAGATCTATTCAAGTACTTTAAAATGATATACAATTTAGTTTTGTGGATAGGTGAGATATTGATATTTAATCTTTGTGACTATTTTTAAAAATTCACCTTTTTGTCAAGGGTCAAAAGATCATATCACAGGAACCCTTTGACCTAGAGATGTAAAACAGGTAGCAATCAATTTCTCTCATGAAGATCTATAAGTATACTAAATTTCTAAAAAATCTGTGCTGGTGATGGCCAGACCCTTGTTGACTTGACATGGTATGACTATAATGAAAATGGAAAAATCTGCACTCAACTGTTGAAACCTCCTGATGAGTGAAGAGAATAATTACAAACCAGTTTGTCTACAAAACCACTAAATATAACATCAACTAAGCGACAAAATTTTTAATACATACACACAGACAGAGGAAGTCACTTATTTTGATCACCTTGGGACAACAGTCTTTTGATTATAAAAAAGTGGATAAGTTATAATTCATTTTAAATAAATTGTTGGAGACTAAATGATTTTTGATAACATTATCCATAATTATAATAAACCTCCTCTATTGAAGACATTTTCTGTTAATCAAAAAAAGTGATAGTTCTGGCAAGATATGATGAAAAATCAATTTGCCCTCAGAAAATAAATCAAAATCAAATAAGATACTTTTGTATTTTATGAAGCATTACTTCTGAAGATGACAAAAATCTTTTTACATGTGGAATGCAATTACAAAAAACAGTAAAGATGAGAAAGAGTAAACTACTTAGAAGTACCTTGTGTACAAATTAGTAACAGTTTAATCAGTTAACATATGATAATTAATTCATTAACTGTAATTAGGCATAAAGTGATGAAGCCTTACCTAAACTGTATGTGATACCAGCCTGACTTCCGCTGCCTCCAGAGTTGAAAGAATTAACAGATGAGGTATTAGATGCTGTACTAGTCCGTCTCTGGCCTATACTTTCCTTAGCAACTTCATTGGCAAGTGTGGACAAAACTCGCTCAGTACTGATTTGTTTGTCATTATGATATGCTTGGGGAGGATTTACAGGAGCAACCACACGCCGTTCTAAAAGGAAATTGTTTAAAAAATAAATAAAACATTCACATTAAAAAAAAAATAAAATCTCACTCAATTACCAAAAAAAAAAAAAAAAAAAAAAAAAAAAAAAAAATTCTTGAAGCATATTAAGATATGTTTCTTTTGAAATATTTTTTGTTTCTTTTAATTTTTAAATAATCATTAAGGATTTCTTTCTTTATTATTCTCAACTTGACTGCAACCATTTGAAGAGATTTATACCAGACATGAAGGAATTATTTTTTTTAATCATTTCATCACAAGCAAGGCAATAAAGTCACTAGGACACAAGGAATTACTGTTTGTTAGGTAATATGAGAAAACTACTATTAAGGAGAGAGAACAATAAAAGAACAAGGATTAACAAGACAGAAGATAATGATTGACACTGCATTTAAATTTTTGAAGATCAAATTTGACTGGGAAGCAATAAGCCAGAAGAGAGGTCCACAAATGAGGAGTGTGACAGAAGAAACTCTCTACACCTAGCCATTTCAACTGTAAAATGATGAGACTTTGCAGCCAATCTAGTACTTTGCTTAAATTCATGAAGTCCAGGTACTATAGTGGAAAGTTCATCAGAACATGTACCATGAAAGTATTTATAAAAAAGGCTCAAGGAAGCTATGTTACAATGGTGGGAAAGAGATTGAAGCCGAGATGTCAGGCCAGGACCACTAACATTGCAGATTCTGCTTTGGATTTTATCAAGAATCTCTAAATATATAGCAGAAACACCAGACCAGATGTGGCAGTAATATTTGAAGCAAGGATGAATGATAGACTTATATAAGATAGATTCTGGCAAGAAAAATTGTCATGCCCAAGATAGTGAACCAACTTTTTTAGTTGAAAACTTAGCAGTTGAGTCACTTCACTTCAGCTGAAAATGTTAGTCAGAGAAGGTGCAATGAATCATTCTCCTGGAGGTTAGCATCAGCCATTCTGATGGAAGGTAAAAAGGGTTCTCTCAGATGATTAAAAAAAGTTTCATTCTTGAGGCATTAAAATTAACAAGCCACTCCTTGTCCCATTAAGAGATTGTAGGTCATTTTTGGGATCAGCTGCCAATTTTACCTGAAAATATTACAACTGTTTTTTAAGTTCACAAATGAAAAACAGATTGCTGAAATTAGTACTGTAGATAAACAAAATTTTAAAATACTATGAATAAAACTAAGAGACAACAGACACCCTGATCAATAATTTTGGCCTCAATATCTAGCACAAATGACAATGCACATTGAATATTGACTGCATGAATTTAAGCGTGCTACTAAATTGGCAAATAGGTCTCACCATTTTACTGGTAAGATAACCAGATGCAACCGTGTTCTATTCTAATAACTTCTTTTCTCACACTTCTCACCTTAGAATTCCCCCTTAGATTTCTTGCTTCCTTACCACCTACAATCTTCAAAAATTTAAATGCAATGCTAGTTGCCATCTTCTGTCTTCCTGAAATCTGTTCTTTTACTTGACCTCTCTTCTCACTAATTCTTCTCATTCTCTTTTACTCCCAGTAACCATTATTGTCTTTTGCTTGGGGTGAAATGAGTCAACACTGTTAGAATTATCACCATACAAAACTTATTTCTAGAGGTAAAATTAATAGAATAGTATAGAGCAGCGGTTCTCAACCGGGGTCCATATGGACATGGAATGTTGTCCATGTACAATCACTGGAGTCAAAAAAAAAAAAAAAAAAAAAAAATTAAATGTTCCATAGAATTTAGTTGTTAAATACAATTTTATTTTCATTAAATTAGTTTTACTTCAAAGTAAAGCATATACATTTACTATTTCTATAATACAATTCGTAAACTTATCTATTACTAAAAAATAAAATAAGCTTTTTTTTTTTTTTTTTTTTTTTTTTTTTCTTTCATTGAATGGTTATCAGGGTTATAAAAAAAAAATAAATAAGAATAACAGTGGTCCATGGGTAAAAGAAGATTGAGAACCACTGGTATAGAGTGAAACAGTGAAATTAAAGGTCTACTAAAGCATTATAAAATTGTGTATGAACATAAGCTGTCCAAACATCTTTTGCAAGAATCACAACTAAAACACCAGATATAAAAACATAAGATTATAAAGTAATAATTAAGAAATAATTTAAGTAAATTTGGCACATTTTTAACTTCAGATTCATAGTCAGTTGTTTTCAGAATTTTACAACTTAAAACCTTACAGATAAATGGTATGATGTTACACCTTCTCTAGTCAAACACACAGAATGTATCTGTTATAAACCTGGTACATTCACACATGATTCTTATGAAAACAATTCTAGGCATTTTAAAAGATGATGATGATTTATAGACACTTCTTTCACAAGAAACTACAAACAACTGGATTATTTTTTAAACATTTGATTATAACAGTCTATGTTAACTATTATGGAAGAAAAAAATGCCAACGAAGGAGGACTAACCTAAACATTGCCAAAAATGGTAAAAGATGCCAAATTCTAAAATGAAAGTTAGAGATTATTAAAAAAGAAGAAAAACTCACTGTCTGGACGATTCTGACTTTGTTGTGGTGTGTCTAATTCCAAAGATCCTGAAAAAGGAAAATAGCAATATTTTGTATAGGTTTAAACTGCAATATTTATAGAAGAAGAATGCTTAATATAAAAAAAATAGAGCATTTGTTGATATAGGCAGAAGACTGCTTGAGGCATGAAACTGACAATCACAATGCAGTATTCATTTCTATACCCAGTCATAAATTGGATTGTAACAAAAGTACATAGCATTTCTTTAAGTGAAATTCAAAGATGATATTTGTATAAAGATTTCTTCAACCATATATGTGCCATTTTATTCCACTACCTTTCATCATCTTTGAGGCTGCTTCAGAATTTCAACTTCCCAGAACTTGTAATTTCTCTGGGTGATGAACTGATCCAAGAGAATTGAAATTCTTTTAATTAAGACAATTTTGTAAGCTTTGAACATAAATTAGTGACATTGTCGTGATGGAAAACAAAAAACTTGGCTAATCCAGGGTGCTTTTTTATTGTTGCTGTTAACTGGTTCACAATTGGAAACTTGTTTGAATTAAATGTCTGATTTTAGGGGAGAAGTTTTCAATACATAATGTCCTTCCAATCCACTAGATACATAGTATCAACTTCTTCAAATACAGAGTAATTATTTTTTTTACCCCAGGAACCTTTTCACTCCACATTGTTGTAAACAATCTATTTTTCACTGTTTGTAGCAAGTTTAAGAAGAAAACTGCAAATGGAAATATGGTCCACAAAATGTTTTTTTTTTTTATGCATGCCTGCCAAAAATTCTCAGTCATCCAGATCAAAATTACCACTTATGAACAAGTCTCAGCTATGGGACCATCTTCATAAATGGCACATATCATTTTTTTTTTCAGTGTTTTTTTTTTACCTTTCCCAAAATAAGAGATGATCAAATAATGAAAACGTCTCATTTTCCGCCAGTTTCATGTTTAGCCTAAAAACATTTAAAATTCATATATGCAGGTCATAAATTTCAGTCACACGTAAAACAAAATCACATGTTCAAATGACACTTATTGAAAAATGATACAAACTTTTGTTCAAAACATATATAGAATGGCACATAAAACTTTAAAAATAATGTTCTAAACAGTCACCCCAACCAATTGACTACTATGAGAGATTTTTTAACATTCATACTTACTTAAAAGTTTCATTATGGAGTAATGATTAACAAAATAGTCAAGTAGCCTATTATGATAATAGTCCTAAAGTGCTCTATTTTTGTGAACTTGTGCCAGATTCCTGAAAGCTCATTAAAGATGCTTATGGCACAATAGTTAATAAGAGACTTGCACAGAACAATTCCATTGTGTAATGAGTTTAATCGCTTATATATGCCCCATTTCAATGAACATGCGCTAGAAAATAAATAGTTACATATGAGTTTGCAGCCACAAATGGAATGGCAATACTATGTAAATATACACACACAGATATATAACAAGTGTCTGATAGATTTGTAAAAACAGCAAATTTTGCTCCAGTATAAAAAAAATACAAGCTTAATTTGTAAATAATAAACGAGCAAGCTCTTTTAACCCTCAGTTCTCTTGTTTACCAGTTGAATCAAACCTGCAAAAGCTGCGGTGGGAGGAAAAAAAAAAAAAAAAAAAATCAAAGAATAATGCTTACTTTTTTCTAAAATTTCTGTGATTCCAGCATTATCTGCTTCCAATTCCATTTTAAATTTGGATAATTCTTGGTCCAACTTTCTTAAATGCCTATCAACCTACAAAATACGAAATAGAGACTCAGCTCAAAAAGAAAATAAAAGGAACAAATTGACAAGAATTTTATGGAACATTATATAATTATTCTAAATTTTTTGCATTCAGTTTTAAAATATATATATATATATATATATATATATATATATCATAATTAAGCTTTTGAAAAATATATTTCAATTGAACACTGTTGAGAGATAAGCCGATTCTATAAACAACAGCCACCTGCACTAATGCAAAGCTCTTCAGTAAAATGAATTGGAGCCCTCTGACTGATTGGCATTTGTTTACATTCGTAAAAACAATCCACTAGAATTAGCTGTTTCTCTCTGCTGAATGATAATAGCTGTGATACAGCAAAACAGTGCCGTCTGCAAATGAGAAAGTGAGATTATATATGTAAAGGCCTTTGCAGATTATTCTGAGTAGTAGAAGAATTGATTGATTTGACAGCTTATCAACCATTTTAAGGTTACTGAGAAAGGTCCTCCACATCTACTAGGAGCACAAAATCAATGACTGTGTATAGAGAAAGGTCAAAAGTCTTGTGGGCTGACAGGAATCTCTTTGCCACCATTAAGCATTGGAAGATGTCATGGTTTGGCCATGTCACACAGCATAACAGCCTCTGCAATACATGTTTGAAGGCAGACGCAAACTTGGACTGCTATGCAAAAGCTGGTTAGACAACCTCAAAGAGTCGACAGATATGCAACCTGATCATCCTGAAGGGGGTTGTCTGTTTCTTTTACCCTTAGGTCCCCTCAACAATTGAAGCAGTCAAGGGACTGATGATAAAATCTGAAATATATTTTGGGATAGTAAGAAATTTTTTTTTTTGAAATAATGATTTCCTGATAAAAGTCCTACTATTTAACCCATAACCAGGTCAACAAGAGGTGGATTCATGCCTTTCACATTTTCTGAACTTGGCTCTCCAATTTCTCATTCAGAGCTGTTATTCATTACACCATCTGCACATCCAAGCTTACAGCACTTGGTATTCCTAACAAGTCCTGCATCTAGGTATGAGCCAGGCGCAACATTGCTTAATTTCAGGGATCAGACAAGAATCTGTGTTTCAATGTAAGCCAAGAAGTGGAAGAAATACTGAAATCAATTCATGAGGTCCCTCTGAAGGGGACCAAGATACCAAACCTTTGGTAAACTATTTTGTTTATATGAAATAGCTGGATATTTTTCGGACAAATCTATCAACCAATGTCTTAAACAAGTACATTAACACATGGCTTTAAAAATAACTATAAGAAACAAATAAAAGTTTTGTAGATACTTTTACTCACTAAGTCATGTATATGGCTAGCTAAGTGGACCTTTTCATCTGCATCATCAAGCACTTTGTAGTAGCCCTGAAAAGACAGCATGAAAGACTTTTACAAATATGGATAATATTCAGAAATATTAATGAACACAATTCTTATTACAGTCCATATTAAAGTTTGTAATTTATCAATCCACAACGTTTTGAAAATAATCATCAATAAACCTGATACTCAACATCTCATACAGAAGTCAGAAAATATTAACGGTGTTTGTTAAATCATAAATTATGATATTGTAATTTATTAGGTGACTAAGATGTTTTAATGATTTTTTAAGATTTATGCACACATTATTAAACTTTTTTTTTTTTTTTTTTAACAAAGTTCAATATTCCAACTTTGTTCTAGAGTAATGGCATTTGGACCAGAATCTGTCATTCTCTTACTCCATGATCAGCTAAGAATGAATACTATAAGAGAGGGAAGGAAAGGTGAAAGACAATAATATAGATTATCTTCCAGCCTACCTGCATTTTCAACTAATGAAGGTCAGAGAATGGACCTGCTGAAATGTTGTAAATGAAAATAATTTTTAAATATTTTTTAACAAGATATAAAATAAGAAGCAAAAATTGTGTGTGCATGAAAACACACCCAGCACCATCTTTTGAGAATGAGAGATTGAATATATTATATACAGAAAAGTGTATGTTTAATTAAGAAATGAAAAAAAAAAGAAAAGGGAAACTTTTATACTCAGTAGATTACAAAATATTCCAAGTTAAAGCTGTAGCATTTGGTGGGAGGGAATCAAATTTTAATCAAGAAAGCTTACTTTAGAAACAACAGAATTAAAGGACGACGTATCGTCTGCAATGTAGTGAGAATAGTTTTAATTCAGGGGAGATAACTGATAATATCTATACGAAAAGACTCCACAATGTTGGGAAATAAAGAAATGGTCAAAATTTTAAACATTAACGATTTTTTTACTTTTTCATCCCCCACACCCCAATCTATAAATAACAATTCCTCGGCGTGACTAAGTAATTATGATGGATATACAACCAAATATCAATACTCAATATCCACTGTGCTTGGTTATCCCTATGAAGTGCATTCAAATTAATATTATGCTTATTTTTATCAAGATCAAAGAATATTTCAAATATTAGACATTTTAATCATATCACATGGAAATTAATTTTCTCCAACTCACTTGTTTTAATTTGGTGAATTGTTCTTCTCGCCAATCATTCTTTGCATTCGCTTGTGTACACTTTTTAAAAAATGCTGAAACTTTGTCATCAAGATTGTCCAGTGCATCTGAAAAAGGGAATCCAATTATTATAAAACTATCAAACATAACTTTTTGTAAAAAGTTAGGCACAACCTCCTATACTTTCAAGTACTTACCATATGAAAAGCGTTTTACTAATAAGCAATGTTTTTTTCATTCTTTTTAGTTAAAGTCAAGAAATCAGTAAACCTAAACTGAGTTTCATGATATACATTGTTAAGAGGTTTGTTTAACAATCTCATTTTTATAAACTATCAGTTCCCAGAAAATAATTTTTTAAGGATCATATGGCACATAGTTCTGTTTTAGTATGTTTTATAAATAGTTTACTTAATGTTATCTTAATCTAGTTTTTAGTAAAAAAACCTTTTTGAAAAGCTAGTCATTCAAATTGAATTTAAAAAAGCAGCAAATTTGACAAAATTCTCTGAAAATTTATATTAATTCTGAGCAAGATCATTATATACTTTATACACAGAAACTCTGATTTTGAGCTCACAAAAATCTCATTGTAAAAACTAAATTCAAACATTCAGAAGGAAATTTATCTTCATAGTCTTATTGACCTTTGTAGATTTCTTTTAAGGTATTTAGTGTGAAGTGAATGAAAGAATTTGAACTTGGTATGCTGATTCTATGGTAATCCTGTGAAAATTTCTATAACGAAAAGTTTTGATTTAAAAAAAAAAAAGGCATTTTACTTTGTAGTGAAAAAGATTTTTTTTTTTTTTTTTTTTACACATGCAAGATGAATTTTTTTCAGAGCAAAAATATTCAAATATTACAATACTTTTTTTTGTTGAATTAACCCCAAAACTTAATGTAATAATCTCTTTATCAAATAAATCACTTAAATACTTCAATTTTCTCTATGAATTTAATTTTTTAGTTGTTCAGTGCAGTAGTCAAGAGAAAACCACTCGATCTCTATCTATTTTTTTCCTTTAAATATCACTATCGATTTAAGCACTTCAAATTACGAATTAATAAAAATATTTTTAAGAAAACACATCGAATGAGCATTGGGGGGGCTTGCTTAGGGGATCAATTTTTTTTACAATCCTATTAATTTTTATATTCGTAATCTGAACTACCTACAGCTATATGAAAAACAATAAAAAATAACAATGAACATTTCTGCTCCTAGTGACTATTGTACATCACCGAGAATTTTTTATTTCAATTATTGAAAGTTAAATATAAATGGCGATTTTCTTATTCTTAAAGTTTAAACTTTAAACGTTAATAATCGTGAAGAGACAAAATCAATCATGAATTTGTACATAAATGTTTTAAAACTTAATAATTTGTTTGTTTATATCGTGACAGACGTCTCAGCTAGAGTTGAATGAAGTCACTTCACTTGTTTACGCATTGAAGACCATGTGTTGGGCAGGTTGAAATGGAAATAAACAAAGCAATTGGAAAGTTATCAAATCCAAAATTAATAAATCGTAAATGAAAATTATATAAAGATTTAATGAAAGGAACGAGATTTTAGGCAAGGTAAGTAAAATATATATTTTTTTTTTACACATCTATTTTCTTGAAGCATTTTAAAATGTCAATACTTAGGAAAAAAAGTCAACAACCATGTTTAGTAAACAAAGTAAAATGAAGCCAAATGAATTATAAAGAAAAAAACAAAACAAAAACGAAAACATGAATTAAAAAACTTCCCTCCAATCGTTTGGACTTGTTAGCTAAAATAAAAATAAACAAACCAAACAAAGACGTTTTTATTTCCATTTCATGTTGAAAAACTTTATTTCTCAAGAGGTTTCCCCGAATGTCCGATTATTGGGGATCCACTTTTTAAATTCGATTATTGACAAATAAATTTTGATGCCGGCGTGAGATCGTTCCAAGATACAACAATCATTTTTTTAAAGAACCATGTGGTTAATTGTTGTCATTGTTGATTATGACCAAACAACAGGAGAAAGCAACTTCTATTCAAAAATTGTGCTCCGCGAGTAGGATTTTCTAAGTTAATTTACCCGCGAACAACAATTTTACTTTTCACAACAAAAATCAAAGCTGTTGTCAGGATAAAAAAAAATGGATTAAATAAAAATAAGAGATAGAAAGAAGAAAATTGTCCCACAAATAAACGAAGATAAGAAAAATAAGGATTGTTTTTTTATTTTTTTTCTTGAGCCAACGATTCATTGATGATGATAAAAATGCGTGCAAACTCTTCATCGCAACAACGACACTAAGTAAGGACTTACTTTAACTTCCGCAAAACCTTTCATTCTCTTTCAATGATACAAAAAAAAAATCCAAAAAACAAGGAACAGCCGTATACAAAACGGACACTTAACAGAACGAACAAAAAGTTTCTTTATCAAGTACTTACTTTGAACCTGGAGGTCCATTTCTCTCATCTCTGTGAGTCGGTCTCTCATTTCCATGGGCAAATTCTCGATCACTGCGAACATTAAGGAAAAAAAGAAAATCATTGCAATGGATAGATAGAAATGATGTTTATTCGGTTTTGGCGTGCAACAACAGAGCTCAGACAGCATTCAATAAATTAAAGATAGTGTTAACTTTAAATAAACGATGATGTGAATGATTTAGACTTACCTTCTAAATAGTCTTCGAGGTACAACATTTTGCCCAAAACAGACTTTCACCTCGTGCACAAAAATGTCTGCCGAACTACCGAGAAACAAACGGCTTTCGTAAAACCTACTTCGATTGGCTGATCTGTTCACGCTGGAGAAAAAAACTAAAAGTATGTTTGCTTTATATTTATTTAATGAGAGCAAATTACTCAGACGTTTTATGCTAGAAACGAAATTTAGATTTTATTTGGGCTCTTTTACAGGAAATTCAGAAGTTTCGAAAAAGAATATGAAGTTAATTGAAGTAACCTTACAAACAGAGACAAACAATTCTCAGAGCCAATCAAATTATCTAATGCATTTGCTTCAACGAGGTTCCAACACAACCGCTGGAGCCTAGTTCCCAAAACTTACTTTTTGATTTAATAAAAGTTATCTACTCTAACAGAAACTATACCCAATAAAGCACAATTATTTTAAAAGAATAAAAAGATTTTGTAAAAAGTCAACAATTTGAGTTTATTTTTAATTTGTTAATTGACAAAACATTTCGTACTCTCGTTGTGAAAGGAATCCATGTCAGAGGTCAAATTGAAAAAAAAGTCAGTAGGTTTAGTTACGCATCTGATTTGTCCGATTGCAGCTTAGTACTTCGTCAATAATAACAAATGTTTCCACTTCAAAACATCGTGAGAAGTTGCAATCAGCAACTTCTCAAACTCTACGCGCGACATTCCAAATGTACACTCAGTTTACCAATTAAACGATCAGCATCGACTTCCGAGGTAAGAAACATATTCTGTTCAATTGCAATATTTTCTTTTTAAATTACATGTGCTCAGAGTCAACAAAACAGTTGTAAGATTTCCACGTGGTTTCTTTCTGTTGACTTCATTCGCTGTTTTTAAATCTTTCATTGGTAAGCAAACTTTTAAATTAAAATAAAAGTAAACTAATCGCTGTTATTTTTTTTTTATTTATTCAATGAGAAAAGTTTATTTTTACAACGATGCACACAAATGATTAATTTAAAAATTTATTTTTTTATTAGCGAAAATTTTTGTGTAACAAGAAAACTTTAAAAAATTATAATTTAACATTTTTTGTGCACCTTTATTTGTTAAAAAAGTCGATTTGTCTTCTTTTTTTTTTCTTCTCAAATGTTACGTTTAGCAATATTATTGAGAAAAAAATTTTTTTCACCCAGTGTAAAGTACTTGAAATTGGAAATAAATAAAAATAAATAAAACTTCTCTTTACAACAGCCCGGCGCAAAAATAACATTTTTGTAATTTTATTGAGGATCACACAAAATGAAAAATCTAACGACACGTCAAGTTATTTTTCATTGTGAGATTTCTTAGATAATTTGTAAACACCTGAATTTTTTCTTAGTGCAAGTGTACGCAGTTTGCCTAAGCAGCCTCTCCTATTCTTTTCTTAGTTGCACAAACAAACAAAAAAAATCATAAAAACTGTAATCCGAGATTAAGTAAGTTTTTTTTTTTTATTTGAAAGAAATAACAAATTCACCTTGTTGAAGAATAACAAATTTATTATATAAAAATAATAAACTTCGCAATTTTTCCTACGAGGAAAAATGATTTTGTTTGGAATTTTTTTTTTTTTTATAACTACTCTATTTCCTAACTTTTGAAGTTTTCGAAAGTTTATTCAACACAAAAACGTCAAAGCAAATTGACTTCCCAACCACTTTTTTTTTTTTTTAAATTGCAAAAATAAAATGCCATTATCAGCTAAAACTTCCAACAATTTTCGACAGGGACTCTTATTCAAGTTTTTGGCCTGTCGTTTTACGGACTAGTTTTTACTTTGAGTTTTTATTGACTCATCGTCCAAATTTAATTTTATTGCTTACTTTGATTTTTTTTTTTTTTTTTTTTTTTTTAAAATCAAATTCAAATGTCAACCTTATTATTTAACTTTAAGGGGTTTTGTTTTTTAAATTTTAAATTTAAATTTTTATTTATTTTTTTTAGTATTTTATTTATTTTATTTAAATAAAATTTATTTTATTTTATTTAAATTTTATTTAATCCTCATTCATCATTTGCTTGTTGGAAATATTAAATTTAAAAAATCTGTTAGAGCTTGAAATTATTAAAACTAAAAGTTAAAAAGAGAAGCTTCAAGAAAGACTTTTCATTTTTAAAAATGTATTTGAAGTAAAATAAAAACCCTTCTCTTCGGTAAATGATAAAGAAAAAAAATAGGCTTCAACATAACGCGGAAGAAAAAATAATGTTACTCAACTGCTTGTGCACGCTTAAAACTTTTAAGTTGAAAGTAAAACTAACAAAACAAATCTATAATTATTAGATTTGTTTTGTAGTTTTACTTTCAACTTAAAAAGTTTTAAGATCAAATAAGAAGCATGCACAAGCAGATTATGTAAGTTTATTTTTTCTTCCCCGTTATGTTGACGCCTATTTTTTTTCTCCTTTATCATTATTTCTGCCGAAGAAAAACGATAAGGAAACACGGTAAAACTGAAAAGTCTTTCTTGAAGCTTTTAGTTTTAGCTTCTCAAGCTAATAGATTTTTTTTAAATGTAATATTTCCAACAAGCAAAAATAAATAAAATAAAAATATCTTGCTGTTTGCTGAATTTCAAAACGAATTCTTTTTTTTTTTTTTCAAATTGCTAAAAATGGCAGATTTTTAAATTTTAGTCATATTTCTGTCGTAAGCACGCCGTAATTATTTTTATTAAAAAAAAAATCTCTCAAAAATAAAAATAAAATATACTTTTCTGAAACTTTATTTGAGAAGATTTGTTTTTTTTTTTTTTTTTTTGTTTTTCTTTTTAAGTTTAATGATAATCTGATTGGAAACCTATTACATTAAGTTTAAATATCGCAGAAAAGTTGTTTTTTTTACGGGGGACATAGCTGTAAAAAAAAAAAATTACTTGAATATGACATGACTGCCTTTTTTTCTTTTTTACTATTACTATTCTAATTAATATTTTATTGAATTTTTGGCAGGTTAGCTTTCCTAAATTTACTATAGCTACCACTTTTATTTTTACCGATAATGTTGTGGACGTTCCTTAAAAGTCGGCACATGCACACAAAAATTCTTTTTAAAATATTGGTGGTTACTGAATTGTAGTAAGCTTTTCTGTTTATGATTAGATTATTAATAATAATAATATCACCTAACCACTATAAATTAATACAGAATCTTATGGTTTAAAACTTTATAAATTATTATAATAAAAAAAAAAAATTATTCAAACAATAGTGTCCAAATCTTTTTCATAAATACATTTTCTAATTAATTAATGTCTTAATTTTATTACATTTTATTCTAAGCAGATTTTCTGTAACTGGTGTCCTGTTCTACAAAAAAAAATGTTGATTTAAATTCTTGAAAGACTTCTGCTTATAACTAATATAAATTAAACTCTGCAAAAATGAATTTCTCAATTTATTAAAATTCAATGTGGGGTTTAAAAAAAAAAAAAAACAGAAATAAAAACAATTACCAAGATTTTTTTTAAAAAAAAAAATTAATTCCATGTAAAAAGTTTTCGTTGGAATAAGTCCTGAAATTTCCATTTTAAAATCTGACAATTATTTGATTTTTTTTTTTTTTTTTTTTTTTTTGCAAGAATTTCCAAATCAATGTGATTTTAACCACAAAAAGACATTAAAATTTCCCATACTAATTTATGGTCACCTGATGACAAAAAAAAATTAACCAAAATTTTGAAGGTTCTAAATTTAATAATAACAAAGATTGATAGAATTTTATTTTTATTAGGTTCATGTTATTTTTCATCATATGTGCTCATTTATTAGCAAATATTTGGAAGTAACTACTTTTGATAGTACTTTTTTATTTTTCTATTCTAACCAGAAACCTTTTTACAAGCTATTTACTGCTAACATATGTTTTTTTCTCAGTGCAATGCATTTTTCCATTATTAAGTAGAATTGATAAAATGCTAATAATTCCATCTCTTCAGGTTCTTAGTATTTTTACCTGGATTCTTAGATTACATTTTATATTTAAGCAGATTCCCTCCCCTTCAGACACGCACACCTTTTTATTTCATATTGATATCGGGAATGGCTTCTGGGTGTGGAATGCAATTCAAATTTAGATGGAGATGTCATCATAGTCTACATATGAGTAGATGTGTTCTGAATAAACCTATTTGTGAAATTACCAAAAACTAACATGAGATATCAGAATTATTTCCATACCAAAAATAATCTAACAGTTTGTAAAAAAAAAAAAACCTTAAAAGGTTCACACTGTCATTTTTTAAACATTTATTTATTGATAAAATAAACTTTTGTGATGGACAGCAATGAGATTAATTTCAAAATAGCACTGAAAAATTACAAGTATATATTAAGGCTAGGTTTTTTTTTCTGTAAGAAAATAACTTGTTTTATTAAATTATGCAAGCACCAGTTCTCAAAGAAAATTTTTTTGTGTTTGATTGAATTGTTTTTTGGCAAGATGCAAGCAAAATTTTCTATATGTTCACACTAGATATGTTTTATTAACTGGTCAATTGACAGTTATTTTGGAATATGGAATGACATTATGACCAAACAATTTTTTTGACAATCATTAGGTTTTTGAAGTGATAAGTGCACTGGCATTGAGTGTTGTGTTTTTTTTTTTTTTTTTTTTTTTTTTTTTAATGTAAAAGTTGTTAAATTGAACTAGTGTAATTTTCAGGTGTCTTCATGAGTTACCTAAAAACATGTATTCTTTTTATACATTAAGATAGAAATGTATAAATTGGATAGTCCTTGTGCTTTATCATTTTTCTTACACTAGCATTTTTATACAAGTGTTGTATGTATAGATGTGGGTGTGAAGATGAGAATTTAAAGGTTAAAAATATCTAAGGTTACTGAATTGCATGGTGAAAATTGGGAGGCAAATAGTGGTCATGTTAACAGAAGTATTTGGTTGGGCTTGGAAACTGGATTACATTGTCCTGATGAAAAGAATAATGAAAAAATAAAGTACAGGAGAAAATTTTGGTCAGTGAAGTAATACTATGTATGGATATGTATTTGTCAGCATTTGTTTGAGTGCAATCAGCCTTTATTTCTCCCATAGCACCTAAGGAGAGGTTGCTCACATATCTTAGTTGTGTGCCTAAAATGTTTATCTCGGATGTATAAGATATTTATACATCTTCTATTACTGAGGACATTCTGACAAAGTTTTAACCGTCATACCAACAAAAGGATAGTTTTTCTGTTAACACCACTATTACTGTAGCGATTTTCTAAGCCCGGCTTAGATGTGGCACAAGGCCGTGAGGATTGAACTCACTACTCAGTCGTAATTGATCTAGCAAAGACAAGCTTCCTAAACATTACACTACGTCGAGGTGCCCAAACCACTATTATTCCAAGACAGTGTTTAGCCATGTTTACTTACAAGATTATATAAGCATATGAACCCAGTACAATGTGATATTTATAATTTATCATTTTATAAAGACACTGGTTCCTGTATGATTATCAAAGCTAAGCAATGTCAAGCCTGGTCAGTATCTACATGGGTGAGTGCTTGAAAATACCAAGTGCTGTAAGCTATGATGTGCAGGTGGTATAATGGATTGCAGTTGTTAATTGGAGAGCCAAATTCCAAAAGAAGTATGAAAGACCAGCAGTGAGATGATCAAGAATTTATTATTTATGTTTAATACAAAATTTTCTTTAACCTTATATAGCCAATAGTTTAACAATATAATTTTTTATTCTATACACTTTTATTAAACTTG